TTTTGGGACAGAGAGAGACAGAGCATGAACGGGGGAGGGGCAGAGAGAGAGGGAGACACAGAATCGGAAACAGGCTCCAGGCTCCGAGCCATCAGCCCAGAGCCCGACGCGGGGCTCGAACTCACGGACCGCGAGATCGTGACCTGGCTGAAGTCGGACGCTTAACCGACTGCGCCACCCAGGCGCCCCAAAAAAAATTTTTTTTAACATTTATTTATTATTGAGAGACAGAGACAGAGCATGAGCACGGGAGGGGCAAAGAAGGGGGAGACACAGATTCTGAGGCAGGCTCCAGGCTCTGAGCTGTTAGCACAGAGCCTGATGTGGGGTTTGAACTCACAAACCACGAGATCATGACCTGAGCCAAAGTCGGACATTAACCGACTAAGCCACCCAGGTGCCCTAATATACTACTCCATTTTTTACGTCTATTTACATATACTACTTTTAGATGTACCAGTGTGTGTCATACATACACATACACACACACACACACACACACACACAATCTAGATTGCATCACTGTGCTTTCAGACACAAGAGGAAAAGACCTAAGGGTGCCAACTTGCTTGAGGTTCCCAGCTAGTCAGTGTCAGGGCAGAAATTACCATTGTGTAGTAAAGATGAAATGGACTAATGTACACAGACAACTTTCATTCCTATGGGCTCCCAAAAGCCATTGTCCCTACCCCCAAAGTAATCTGTCGGCTGGTGGCTATGGCAGTTGCATAAATAAGCTCTTTTCCTCTCTTCCATTATGGGAGGCATATCACTTTCCAAAAGGCCCCCACTGAGGTGAAGACAGTTGGTGATGTGATAGTAGGGACTCTAACGTGGCCACTTTCCCTCAGTAATTGTCCATACACACACACACCCTTCTGATTCCCTGGGACCTCCGGGATTCATCCCCGGCTTCCAGCATGGCTTTACCACGCAGCATCCCTTGAGTTGGCTGTCCTCTGCTTCCATGTAGATATCCAAGGAGCACTGCACTAAGTACCTACCTCGCCACCAAAGGCTGCAGTTTCAGATCCTGTAAAACAATGATCCAATGCCCATCTTTGTTAGCTCCGCAGATCTAAAGTGCACAAAGTAAAAGAATGGGAGGGGATATCTCACGCGACTGGGAAGCACACAGGCAGAGGCAGTTACTTAGACTCTGCCATAGCCAAGGTGTAAATTTTAAGTATGTAATACCAATGCTTTAAATGTGCGGGTCTTTTGAAGCAGCACCCTCACTTCGAGGGAAAGACAGTAAGTATGCAAAGGTGATTTACTGTGAAGTTTACAATAGCAAAAAACTAGGGACAATCTAAATGTTCCTTAGTGGGGGCTAGGATAAATATATTACAGTACATCCTCACAACGGAATACTATACAGCCATTAACATCAATGAGGTAAAACAGACACGGAATGAATGGTGTTACAGTATGTTAGTTTTAAGAGACATTTAATAATTTATAATTGCCTCATTTTCATTAAAAACATCTGTACAAAGGCATAGTAAGAGTTGAGGTACAGTTATTAAAAAGGAGTGGATAGTGGTTATTTTTGGTGCATTAAATTTTGAGGTGATTTAAATTGCTTTTCTGTTTTCTATTTCCACATTACATGAGGAATGACAGTGTGTGCAACACGTGCTCCTCAAAAAAGAGCAGTGAATGTCTCAGAGAGAAAGCAGGGTCAGGTAGAAAAGATGTCTGCTTCTGAACAGCCCTGGATGCACTGGTAAGAAGGTGGTAGACTCGGCATTCCACCATGCTCCTGCCGTGATAGTGATGTGGCATGAAGAGAAAAAAGGACTCCCAGGACTCCTTGAACGCACTTGCAAGAGTCTTCTTCCTAGTGGGTCTGACCACCTTCTTAGTTTGGACTCAGAGCTGGCAGATATCCAGCAGCAGCAGGAGCCCCAGGCAGATGACTGCTGGGATGTAGGTGTTCGGTGACTCTTTCAGAGATGCCAGAGTGAAGATGGCTCCTGGAATGGAAAGTGAGGTCCCTGAGGCCCCCTGCCCCTCTCCAGCTGAAGCCTTCCCATTCAACACCTCCCAACCACACCCACACAGAGCCTGAACTAGCTGCTCTCATTTCTCTGGCCTCCCAAACAGAACCAGGAATCAGAAGCCTCTTAAACTAATGTAGCCCCTCTCAGAGGGTGAGAAAGAAACAGGAGCAATCTAGCCAAATGGCGCAGGGAGGTAGGTAGGTGGGCATCTGGGAACAACTTCTAATCCTTCTCCTTTCTTAATCCTACCGGAGGGAAGGTGGAGGTATGGGAAAGATCCGAAAATGAGGGAAGCCTCAGAGATGGAAAGCAAGTCCGGGGGGGGAGGGGTGGCAGTGGTGGCAGCAATGGTGACACAAGGCCAGGGGATCCAGAAGAGTCTGAAGTCGTCTGATCTTTGAAGCAGCAGCTGTCTTGGTACATCAGCAGGTCCTGTGGGCAGAGCTGCTACGAGGGGGTGCTCTACAACTGCCTGTCACAGGGAAATTCTCTGCTTTTCTGGGGGCCCTGGCTTCCTTGCTCTCTATTCCCACCTGCCAGACACATAACCCCACCGGCAGCTGCAACTCCATCCCCTCCTCTCTAGGGTAGGGCTTAGGAGAGAGCAGTACGGACTTTGAGATTATATACATCCATACAATGGGGATACCCTGCAGCCAGCTGAACTGATGAGGTAGGAAGTATGTCTGACAAAGAATCACGTTCTAGTATATTAAGTTTTTGTTTTTTTTTTTTTGTTTTTGTTTTTTTTTTATTTTTTATTTTTTTTAACGTTTATTTATTTTTGGGACAGAGAGAGAGAGAGCATGAACGGTGGAGGGGCAGAGAGAGAGGGAGACACAGAATCCGAAACAGGCTCCAGGCTCCGAGCCATCAGCCCAGAGCCCGACGCGGGGCTCGAACTCACGGACCGCGAGATCGTGACCTGGCTGAAGTCGGACGCTTAACCGACTGCGCCACCCAGGCGCCCCTCTAGTATATTAAGTTTTAAAAGCACCTGTCCTAGGGGCGCCTGGGTGGCGCAGCCGGTTGGGAGTCCGACTTCAGCCAGGTCATGATCTCCCGGTCCGGGAGTTCGAGCCCCGCGTCGGGCTCTGGGCTGATGGCTCGGAGCCTGGAGCCTGTTTCCGATTCTGTGTCTCCCTCTCTCTCTGCCCCTCCCCCGTTCATGCTCTGTCTCTCTCTGTCCCAAAAATAAATAAACGTTGAAAAAAAAATTAATAAAAAAAAATAAATAAAAGCACCCGTCCTAGTCCAAAGGCCATGGAAAATAGAGTACAGCAGGGAGGGCTCCTGGTTCTAGAGAAAAAGGAAAGGAGGCAACAGTAAAGGGAACAGCCAGATCTTCCATGATCCTCTGCCAGAAGCCCCGATTTCCCCAGCCCAGTTGCACCCCCTTACCCATCATGAGCAGGGTCAAAAGCAAGTTACTGATCTCTTGCAGCATCGGTGGGCCCAGGACCAGCAGCAGCCCAGCCAGCAGTTCCAGCCAGCCCACAGCCTCTTGATAGCCCATGGGATCTGGCTGATAGCCGAACACCTTCAACGGGAACACCTCAGCAAACTGCACAAACAGGGCTTTCTAGGGGCAGCAGGGAATGTCTGTCAGCCACACGCAACAAGGATCCACTGCCTGGGCACTCCACAGGGACATTCTGGGCCTGCTCCCTCAACCCCTCCCCACCCCCCACCCCCCAACAAAGGAGCTACTATTCTAGGTCAGGTCCAGGGTTGAGGTCAGTCTGGAGAGGGGAGGGCCTCCCTGGGGAGGGGCGGGGGGAGCTGAGCTTCGGAATCAGGAAACAGGCTTTACCCTCCAAGAAGGGCTGGATGGTGTGGTGCAGAGATGGACTGATTTTCTCAACAGACTCTCACCAGATTACAACCCAGCCCCAAATTCCAAGACCAGGAAGCTAGGCTTGCCAACTTTAGGAATGTCACAGCTTCTCTTTCTTTCTGCCTGACCTGCTTTCCCCTGATGACACTATGCTGGGAATATTGGGAGGTGGGGGTGAGGATGGAAGGGTAGACGGTTGCTCATTCAACGGATTCCACTATGAATATGGTATGCTGGGCCTGGATCCCACTGCAGTCGACACAAAATTAGTTAAGGAGGCTCAAAGAGACTCATTGTGCTGAGTTAGGCTCCGTGACAACTTCAGCCTCAGGCTGACTACCTTTTCCTGCATCGCACCCCACCCCCACTTTAGCTCTACCTCCCCTACTGTCAGCAGCAAGGAAGAAACTCTAAGCGGCTGGCTCTGGGGAGGTATGTACTTCCGCAAACAATCCACCACCCTAAACCAGGGAGGAAGGGCAGAACCCAGGCCTGGGAGACGGAGGCTGGCAGGGGTCTCCAAGTCAGGCTTATTTGAAGGGCTGGGGAATTGGTGAGCATAAGGGCACGAAAGCTTTCCCGAGTCTGGACCTAGCCGGAAGGTGGAAGAATTTGTAGACTTCCCTCTCAAGCTGCCCGGGGAAGGGTTCTCTGGATTCTGAGTTAGGGGAGCGTCTAGATTGACTCCTGCTTCCTGACCTGCCATGTAACCTTTAGCAGACACACTTCACCTTCAGGGCGAGTTTCCTAGCCCACCAAGCGGTAATTCATAAACCCATCCTCATGAACCTCCCAAGAACGCAAACAGGAGAAGGAGGAGAAAGGGGCAGGGAGGGTTCTGGGTCCCCCTTCCATTCCATCTTCTTCCGCCCGGGGTCCCGGCGCATTCCTCCTCCAGCCCTAGGTTTGCCCGGGGCCCCCAATGCTCAGCTGGAAGATGTGCCCCTTCCGTCTAGACAAGAGCCAGAGGACTCGGAGGAGCACCTCGGGAGAGCGCCTACGTCTCAGTCTAGCACTGTCTCGCCGGAAGGCAGGCGGGTCCGCGGGGCACCGGCGCAGGCAGGCGGGCCGGTCGCCGCGGTGGGGGGGGGGGGGGGGGTAACGGCCGCGTCCGCAGTACCCGCCGCCGCGTGGCCGCCCACATCCCGCTGCTCACCATCTGCTCGGACGCTGGAGCCGAGATCAGCCCCGAGAGCTTGGCCGCCCCCGTGAGCGCGAAGAAGCCACCCAGCAGGACGCGCAGAGCGGCGAGCCCGAGCGCCATGGCCGCGCAGGTCCTCCGGGAGGGAAGGAAAGGGAAAGGAAAGGAAGGGGAGGAGAGGAGAGGCCCTGCCGAAACCCTCCCCCTGCCGCCCGCTCGGTTCCTCCCTCCCCAGGGCCACCAGAAGACCGGCGCCAGAACCTCCCGCTCCCCGCCCCCCACCCCGAGGCTGTTGCCGCCCTCTTTTCTGGCCCCCACCTGTTGCGAGGGGAGACGGCCTTCGAGAGGGGCATCCCCATCTCTCAGATGGGGGCACTGAAGCCCAGTGGCTCAAATGACCGCACGAGCCCCTTTGAATTCAAGGGGCGTCTCTTGTCTCCCAACCAGTATGACTGAGTAGAGTCAGACTCCAGGAGTAACCATCTACACGTGCCTCGCAGAAGACCGGGGTTTCCTTCCAGCCTGAGCCACCCTAGCTTTGGGATCTGAGCTGCCACCTAACCTCTTCGGGCCTCACTATTTGCATCTGTAAAAGCGATTAAGCCTGTTCTCTTTAGGAACAGGCCTAGCACAATGTCTGGCACCTGTAAGAGCTCAAACGTTATTTGTAAATTAGTAAATTATGAAATCATTAATAATAAGTCGGTAGCAAGTAATTATAAATTGCTTTCTTTGTGTAAAATATATTTTTCCTCCAATCCTCTCAGTTGAAATTAAAATATGAAAAGTGTTTGAAAATTCAGACACTTGCAGCATAGGTAAGAGAGACTTCCACTAACAAAACCCTACAGGCCACTCGTGGTCCATCTGCTATAACCTGGAAATCAGTCTAGACCTTGATGGACAAACTGTGGGCCAAATTTAGTCAGCGGTTTTTTTCCACTGGTTCCCCCTTCTTCCTCCCCAGCTAACAATGTTTTACATTTTTTAATGATAAAAAAAATTTTAAGGCAGCTTTCATGACACATGAAAATTATATGAAATTCTTAGTTCAGTGTTCATAAAGTTTTATTGAAACACAGCCACACTCATTTGTCTGTGTATTGCCTACAGCTGCTTTTGTGCTGCAAACCCAAAATTGACTAGTTGCCACCACATGGCCTGCAAAACCTAAAGTATTCACTATCTGGCCTTTTATGGGAAAAGTTTGCCAAGCCCTGGTCTAGAGCGCCACAGAAACCCCTACTCTCCGGCAGCTTCTATTTCTGATCAGCCAAGCTGCTTAGATCTTTGTTTTCTACGTACCCACAACCTGCTGGGGTGGGTGGCTGCCTGGCTGAAGACTGCAATGTCCCATGTGCTTCTAAAGGCCAAGCAGATTAACATCCAGGTGTGCTGATACATTACAAACAGGCTTTTTGTGACCATTTTTGTCCCTAATCCAGATGATCCAATCAATCAATCAAATAGCTAAATTCACTGCCTTGGACTATTAAAATTATAATATATAACTAGGTATAAATGCACAATTATTCCTCAACAAAAAGAAAAATTATTAAAACATATAATCACTGAAAACACATATCCACATTAGGAAATTATATTTTAGGATATTTATACAAAATTTAACACAAAATTATAGACTTTGATCATTAGCAATACCCATCTTACTATTCTTTCTCCTTTACTAATTTTTCTATCCTTGGAATTAAAGATGTGACTGCAAGTCTTAGAGCAGGACCAGAAACCAACAGATTTCTTTGTCTTGACTCAGTCAAAGCGGAAAATGTAGCATCACATAAATAAACAGTTGAAAAGGGCAATAAAAACTTCATTGCCTTTTCATGGAGTTCTGGGTAATTTGTCTTTGCATTTATCCAAAACTGAGTCACAGACATTGATTTAAATACTGACTGTAATTCCAAATCTGAAGATAGCTGTACTAGTTTTTCTTCTTCGAAGTCCATGAGATTACTATCTTTGGGATTCATAAAAGGATTAATTATCCACAAATTTCCTGAACGCAAGTCTTCTTCTGGTGGGTAACAGTCATTGAACATTTGACAAAGTCCTTCCAGGTGCTCAAAAATAATGCTTGCAATGCTTCTCATATTTAAGTCTGATGAGTTTACGAATTCGGAAAATGAAGGGAACATGTCATAATCATTCTCTTGTGTGCGCTTCAACCACATTTTTAACTTTTCCTTAAGTATATCCATTTTATTATACAAATTGAAGAGAGTAGTCATAGTTCCTCGGAGACTTAAGTTGAGTTCATTTATAAGTGAAAAAATATCTGATAAATAGGCCAGCTTTGCAACCCATTCTTCATCAAGAAAATACTTGGCCAAATCTGAATGCTTCTGGTTTAAAAAAATTTCAATTTCATGTCGTAGTTCAAATAATCTTGTTAAAATTCTCCCTCTCGAAATCCAACGTACTTCAGCATGAAGGGGTAGATTCACATGCTCAGGCCCCATTTCTTCACACAAAATCGTTAACATTCGTGAATTTGATGCATTGCTCTTTATAAAACTTAAAATTTGTGCTGACTGCAAAAGAATTTTATGTAAGCATGGAGACAACTTTTCTGCTGCTAAATGCTCACGGTGAATAAAACAGTGTGTAAATGCCACTGTATTCGCGGCGATTTCTTGAATCTTTGCCCTTAAACCAGAACACCTGCCAGTCATGCTTGCAGCCCCATCTGTACAGAGACCAACACAGTGTTTCCAATTCAGAGACTTACTATCAATATATTTATTTATTAGTTCAAATATTTCAAAACCAGTTATTTGAGAAGGCATTTCAATGCAACATAGTAATTCTTCTTTTATATCACTGCAATCATAATCAATGAAACGAATATAGCACAAAAGAAGGGTGATATTTGAGATTTCTGATGATTCATCTACCTGAAGGGCAAACCACTTTGACTTTCTGACTTTTTGAATCAGCTGATCTTCAATGTCTGCAGACAACTCATCAATCCTGTGTCCAATCGTGTTATTAGAAAGAGGAATGGTTTTCATTTTGTCTCCAGCACTTGAACCCAAAACTTCTGAACACATTTCCACTAAATATGGTTTAATTAATTCTTCGGCAATGGAGAACGGCTTCTTGCTGGCAGCAATTTGGAAAGCAATTAAATAAGAAGCTTTCACAAGTGACTTTTCAACTAGTAAACACTTTTTTAAAGAACTATTCTGACATTCCATTTCAAGAGATTTTTGTTCAAAAAAATCTACTGGTTTGTTTTCTAATTCTGAATGTTTTGTCTTCAGATGATGAGAAAGATTTGCTGGCTTCATGTTTTCAGTGGATAAGATTTCTCCACAAATGACACATTGTGGCCTTGGTGAACTTTCTTTTGATCCTGGACAGATAATAAAACCAACTTTTAAATATTCCGCATCATAAGTCTGGAAAAAACCTATTCTTTTTTTCTTTGCAGGTGGAGAATCAAGTTCCGCATCATTTTTCTCATTAGGCATAGGTAAATCTGAATGAAATATTTGAATCACTGTTATTTTTCAAGAAGAAATAAGCAATAGTCTTTATGTTTTCCCCCACACATTTAAAATATCTTTTTTTAGTATTTATATTTGTCAAAAGAATACACTAACGTTGAAACAGAAACCACAGAACTTTCATGGTGCCATTAAAAACAGAATTTCTCCTTGCCCAAAACTTGGCCACTGACTAGAGCAAAACTATAGGCTGCGGGACGTGAACTAGCAATGCTATATATATATATATTCAACAGATTGCTGGAATTAGGGCTGAGGTCCACAGGATGCATCTAGTTAAGAATAAATTAATTTACTTTTTTAAATTTCAGAAAAAAGAAAACAAATGTTTAAAAAGTTAACATTTGGTGAGTCTAGCTGTAGAATATATTAATGTTCATTGTGCCATATCTTCAATTATTCTGAACTTTGAAATTTCTCCAAATTAAAGTTGAAGGAAAAAAAAGGTTAATTAGTAGTTTTAATACCCAGTGTATGAGGGTAAAGAGAAATGAGTGTTCTCAAACACTGATATAATTTTTCAGTTTTGCAACACATATCAAAAAGCCTTAAAAATCTATGATAGCTTTTGAATCTGAAATTCTACTACTTAGGATTTATCCTAAAGACCTAATTAGACAAGTGAACAAAGATTCATTTACACAACTTAACTCAATACTGTTTACAATATTAAGCAACTAAAAGCGATCCAAGTGTCAATCTTAGGGGGATGGATAGGTACATACATTGGAATCTATGCATCCATTGAGAATCTCAATGTATATTTACATTTATATTGACATGGAGTATTTCTGATGAGCAATGTCAAAGGAAAAAGTTCACAACAGTACATCTTAAACAATCCAGTATTTAATCTAGAAATTTTTAAAAAATGTATAAGCACACACATACCCACACATACAGATGTCCACAGATCTTTTACTACCTTCCACACGTGAATGTACATAGAATATAAATTCATGTACACAGAGTATATCATTTTAACAGGAATATACAACAATCAAATTTACTTTGGAAGGAAAACAGGATTCTCCTTGACTCCTACTAAAAGAAATGCACCCTACATAAAAACTCAAGATTACTTGTTGACAGATTATACTTTTAAATAAACTACATATATTCTGTGTAGTAAAATTATCATTAAAAACAAAAATCAAAAAATGCTTTGGGCAGAGTAGGCTATGTAAGTAATTGAAAACATGAGGGTAGTGGCAGTTAACATGGATTGGGGCAGCAATAGTTTACAGCCTTTCCAAATATGAATTCAAGTCATTTTCCTGATCACCAACACCTCAGACACACAGTTATATTTTTAGTAAATGACAAATTAATTCACATTGTTTTTAAAAAGAAAGAAGAACTACAGTTAAATCATTAACTCTTAAAGAAATTTGTATCTTAATAGTTATAATAGTTTGTACATTTGAAAAACAGCAGTGCACAGAGATGTCTGTCCACATAATGCTGTGTGTACAGATGGATTCAATTTAGTAGTTATTGGTGTTAATGACAATAATTACAAAAGGAATAAATCAGATGTTCAAAGGATGTGATGCAAGGATGAATGTTTTCCCGTTTAAGAAATGGTATATGATTTTCTTTGCCTTTCTTAAAAAAAACAAAAACAAAACAGAGTTAACTTTCCACATAAGCAGAGCACAAGGATACATACCTGTCTGACATTCCTTGTGTTGTGTATGTGGTTTGCAAGAGGTGGCCTTGGTCTGTGTGACAGGCTTGCACAATACTGCTTTGTTCTTTAAAAGCTTGGAAGACTGGGAAGATAGAAGTTTTGTGGCATCTATCTGTGTGCTTCCCTAGTTAAAAGCAAATTCAGAAACCAAAAACATGTTTTTTAGTACCTTAACACTGACCAGAATCACTATCAATTGAAAGTTGGCACATAGTAAAAGAAACAATTCCTGTGAAAGAGTAGTTGCAATAAAGAAGCTACTTTGGAAAATATACACTAATTCCTAAATCTTCTAATTAGTGTCAGTTCCATTCATTAATTTTTTAAAAATACTCTGCCTATAGTAAGGACAATCAACACAATAAAAACAATCTTTACTGATTAAGACAATTGGCTATTCAGAAAAATTAGATCCAACTCAGACTTTATGAAAAATATATTCCATATTGATTTAAGACCTCAACATGAAAAAAATGAAACTTTAAAATCACTGGAGAGGGAGTGGCTAGCCGGCTCAGTCAGCAGAGACTCTTGATCTCGGGGTTGTGAGTTCAAGCCCCACGTTGGGACGAGAGATAACTTAAAAATAAAATATTTAAAAAATAAAACAAAACAAAAAAATAAAATAAATTAAATCACTGGAGAACTTTCAAATGACTAGAACAAAGAGGAGGTATTCTTAAAAGAAACACAAGAATTATAAACAAAATAGAAACGACTAATACATTTGACTATCCTGAATTTTTTTTTTTTTTTAAATAAAGGTCTTTATAAAACAAAGCTGAAGAGTAAGCAACAGAGTTAGAGAATATATTTAAGGGGCACCTGGGTGGCTCAGTCTGTTAAGCATCCGACTTCAGCTCGGGTCAGGATCTCAGTTTGTGGGTTTGAGCCCCACATCAGGCTCTGTGCTGACAGCTCAGAGCCTGGAGCCTGCTTCCGATTCTGTGTCTCCCTCTCTCTCTGCCCTCCCCTGCTCTCACTCTCTCTCTCAAAAATAATAAAACATCCTAAAGGGAAAAAGAGAGAGAGAAAATGTATTTAAAAGATGTTTGCTGGAGTGCCTGGGTGGCTCAGTTGGTTAAGTGGTTAAGTGTCCAACTTCAGCTCAGGTCATGATCTCGCAGTTCATGAGTTCAAGCCCCACATCAGGCTCTACACTGGTAGCTCCGAGCCTGGAGCCTGCTTCAGATTCTGTGTCTCCCTCTCTCTCTCTGCCCCTTCCCTGCTTGCTCTCTCTCTCTCCCTCTCAAAAAATAAATAAAAATTAAAAAAAATTTTTTTCATAAATAAAACATGTTTTTCACTCAACAAGTATTTACGGAATGTTTACTGTAACTCAGGCACTGTTCTAAGCCCTGGGGATACAGCAAAAAAAAAGAGAAAGAAAGTCCTGCCTTTATGGGCTTTACATCCCACAGGGAGACACAAAAGATAAACAAGTAAAGCAAATATATATTGTATAATTCCAGGTAGTGACGAGTGCTATGAAAGAAAGCAGGGTAAGGGAATGGAGGGTAATGGTGTGGAGAAAGGGTATTTTTAGAGTAAATATTTGAGCAGAGATCTTCTGAATACTCAACTCAAAAGAACAAACCACACAAAGGCTTGAAGTCAGAGGACTCTAGGCAGTGGGATTACAGATGCAAAAGCCCTGAAATGGGAGAGTCTAGCATGCTTTAGGAACATTAACAAGAACAAGGCTGAAATAAAGTAAGCAGGGGCTAGAATGAAATGTTTGAAGAGGCTGGCAGAAGCCAAATTGTATAGGATCTTGAAGGTCTTAGTTTCAAAAACAGTAATAAATTAGGATTGTATTTTAAATATGATGGAATGCACTGCAGATTATATTTAAATTTACTTTTTAAATAAGCAATGGATGTAATAATTTTGAATTATGTAATAATACAAAAGGTATAAAAGTATTTACATGAAAAGTAAGTTTTCCACCCATCTACCCCCTGTCCAGACTCAACCTTGAATACAAGGTTCCCAGTTTTGTTTTGTTTTTGAAGTTTATTAATTTGAGAGACAGAAAGCACATGTGTGAGCAGGAGAGGCGCGGAGAGAGGCAGAGAGAGAGAGAATCCCAAGCAGGCTCCACACTGTCAGTGTGAAGCTTGATGCAGGGCTCAAACCCACACACCGTGAGATCATGACCTGAGCCAAGATCAAGAGTCGGACACTTAACTGACTGAGCTACTCAGGTGCCCTCCTAGTTTCTTACACATCCTTCTAAAGGTGGTCTATGTAATTAAATAAGTTGCTTCTGACTACAAATTGGTGGCATATTATTAGCAAGGCTCTAGCACCTTGTACTGTACCTATTAGCAAGCTATCTTAGAGGTATATTTACATAACTTTGTATAAAGCCACCCTAATAACAGCTTTATACATTGAATGTATCATAGGTAATCTGAAGAGTCTCTGCTACTGAAAACTGAATGTTAAAAACATTTGCTATTACAAACAAGGCTTTTTTTTATTACATTTATTTATTTTTGAGAGACAGAGTGAGACAGAGCGCAAGCAGAGGGACAGAGAGAGAAGGAAACACAGAATCTGAAGCAGGCTCCAGGCTCTGAGCAAGTGTTCAGCACAGAGCTTGATATGGGACTCGAACCCATGAACCATGAGATCATGACCTGAGCTGAAGTTGGACACTTAACTGACTGAGCCACCCAGGCGCCCCAAACAATGCTTTAATAAATACCCCTACATATAAATTAATTCTACACGTGCTAGTATATTTATAGAATAAGGTATTCTAAATTGTGGTTTGGTGGGTCAGAAGACTTTAATTATGTTAGTACAGTCACACTGCTTTCCATAGAAGCACACTATATCATATTATATGACCTTCAGCAATGTACGTGAGCTCGTTTCCCAACACTCCAGTTAATATGGTATTTATGAAACTTTTTGTTATTTCTCAATAAATGAAAAATTATCTAACAGTAGTGTGGTTAGGTATTTTGCATGTTTAAGCATTATTAGTGTTTCCTCTTCTGTGAACTATCTACTCCTATCCTGTGCCCTGTTTTCCTTTAGCCTTTAAAAAAAATTCTATAAAGTTAAAAAAGAAGGGGGTGGGGGGGACACCTGGGTGGCTCAGTTGGTTAAGCACCTGACGGCACAGGTCATGATCTCACAGTTCAGGAGTTCGAGCCCCACATCAGGCTCTCTGCTGTCAGCACAGGAGCCTGCTTCAGAGTCTCTGTCTCCCTCTCTGCCTCTCCCCTGCTCACACTCTTTCTCTAAAAAATAAACATTTAAAAAATGTTTTAAAAACTTCTATGCATAATTTTTTGAATGAGTAATGTAACATGTGACATAAAATTCAAAGACTTTAATATAAAACATGAAAATATACTAATTTCCCTCTTAAATTCTGCCTCAGTCGTTCAGTTCTCCTTAGAGGCAACCACTATTATCTATTCATTGGCTGCCTTCCAGGGCTTTCTATACATATGTATAGGTATGTGGTGGTGGTGGTGGTGTGTGTGTGTGTATGTGTGTTTAAAACACAAATGGCAGTTTGCTATACCATTTGGCCTTTTTCATTTATTGTATATGAGACTGCTCTATGTCTGTACATATATAGTTACCACATTCTTTTTAAGTGCACAGTATTCTACTGTAATGGATATAGCGTACTTATATTAACTATAGTCCCCAAAGAGCTGCTGTATATGCTTGGGCAGGGAATTCCACTCACCAGACCACATGACTAAGTATGAGCTAGGAGAGGGGTATATTTCAGGTTCTACCCATGTAGGCCTATTTTTTTTTTTTTCTAGTTCACACAGTAACTGAGAATGAACTCACAATGGCCCTGACTATTGATCAATGTGGCTGTTTTCAAGCCTTTGCTACTACAAACAATGCTGAAATCATCCCCGCACATACTTCAATTTATAAATGTGCAAAATATATCTGAAGGATAAATTCCTAAAAATGGAGTTCCTTGGTAATATGGTATTTACATTTTAAATTTTAACAAGTTTTACTAAATTGCTCTCTGTAGCAGTTTTACCAACTGCAATTGACAACATGTAAAAATGCCTTAACAGTGTTATCCATTATTTTTATTGTTGCCAATCTGATAAAGTTGGAATTTCTCTAATTTTAAAGTTGAGTATCTTTGCATATGTTTAAGAATAATTTTTATTTCCGGGGCACCTGGGTGGCTCAGTCGGTTAAGCATCTGACTTCGGCTCAGGTCATATCTCATGGTTCGTGAGTTCAAGTTCCACGTCAGGCTCTGTGCTGACAGCTCAGAGCCTGGAGCCTGCTTCAGATTCTGCCTCCCTCTCTCTGTCCCTCCCCCATTTGCCCTCTGTCTCTTTCTCTCTCTCAAATATAAATAAACATTAAAAAAATTTTTTTAAGAATAATTTGTATTTACTAGTCTGATGGATGAGATTTTGTTGCCCATTTTTCTACTGGGTGCTGGGTCTTTTTATTGATTTATAGAAGCTCTTTACATATGGAAAAACTGGCTTTTTATGACATGAATTGCAACCTTTTAATTTTTTTCATGTCTTCTGACTTTGAAATGTAGCTGAATTTCCATAACAACTCTTTATGGCTTCTGAGTTTTGTGACATATTTAGAAAGACTTTCTCTACTTGTTTATTAAAATTCTTTCCTGTATTCTTCCCTACTACTTTGTTATTTTTTTACATTTAAATCTTTTCTCCATGTGGACTTCATTTTGGTGGAACTCGTAAGGTAGAAATCCAATTTATTTTTTTCCATATGTATGCTCAGTTCTCACAATGCTGTTTATTGAATAAGTTTCTCCTACTGATCTGAAGTGCTATCTTTATTATTTCTAAATCTACATACATATTTAGGTCTATTTCCGGACTTCTATTGAGTTCATGGCTTCAGTATCAATTGTTTTATCTTTCTAGCTTCATAAAATTTACAGTTCTACTATAATTTTGGAAACTAGCTCTTCCTCTTCCCCCTTCTTTATGCTTCTTTTACAGAATTTCATTGAAGATTTTTAAGCAGTGGAGTGACACAATCTGATTTAAAATCATTCTGCTAACAATGTGGAGAAAAAAAATGCAAAGGGCAAGAATGCAAGCAGGAAGACAGGTAGGAGGTCACTGGAATGAATCAGAGAAAAGACGATGGTGCCTCAGACAAAGAAGGTAGCAGCAGGAATGGTAAGAAGTAAGGAACACTAGAGAGGAAGTCTGGGGTGGAATAAAAGGGTTCTGATTTAGACATATTATTTGAGATGGCCATTAATCATCTAAGTGTATATGTCAAGTAGGCAACTGGATACATGAATCTGGAGCTCAGAGGTCATGGCAAGAGAAATAAATCTGGGAATAAGCCACCATCTAGGGGGTGTTTAAAAACCACAGGACTGTACTGAGTCCCCAGGAAGATTGAGAAAAAAGACAAGTATGTTGACCTAGAAGTTGAAGAAGGTATTTGAAGAAGAAAGGGAGAGCAACTGTATCAAATGTTACTGAAAGGATAGGTTAAATGAGAACTGGAAATTGACCACTGGACTTGCAAAACTAAAGGTTCATGGTGACCTTGACAAGAGCAATTTCTTCCCCCCGCCCCCCGTGTTTGTTTATTTTTGAGAGAGAGACAGAGCACAGTAGGGAAGGAGCAGAAAGAGAGGGGAGACACAGAATCTGAAGAAGGCTCCAGCTCTGAGCTGTCAGCACAGAGCCCAACGCAGGTCTCCAACGCATGAACCGCAATATCATGACCTCAGCCAAAGTCTTAACCAACTGAGCCACCCAGGCACCCTGACAAGAGCAGTTTCAATGGAATGGTGCAAAGCCTGACTTAAGTGCCCTAAGGAAAGATAACAGATAAGGGAGTAAGCCAGGAAGTTGAGGCCACCCTTAGAGTTTTTCTAAAATGGAGAGTAGAGAAATAGGACAATAGCTGGAGGGCTCTGGTGTTAAAATATTTTTCATAGATATTAAGTATTACTGCATGTTTTTTGTGTCAGTGAAAATGAGTAGAAAGAGGTGGGGGCAAATCCAGAATATATAAAGAGATTCTATAAATCAATAAGGAAAAGATAACTCCACACAAAAATGGGGAAAAATTAAGAACAGGAAATGAAAAGAAAATTCAAATGTTCAAAAATACAGACATATAAGCAAAATTGCTAGTTATCAGTGATATGCAAAATAAAATAAGGTATTACTAAATAGACTGACAAAAAATGTCTAAATCTGACAACATTGAATGATAGCAAGGCTGTGGGAAATGAGTATAATCATAATCTCCTGGTAGGAATAAAAACTGAAACAGACATTTTGAAAACAAAAATGCAAATACTCTTTGAATTCAAAATTCTACTCTTCCATATCTACACCAGACAAACACCAGCACACGTGCACAAGGAGATGTATACAAAGATGTTGATTGTAGCAGAGATTGTTTTAATAGTCAAGACCTAGAAGCAACCTAATGTTCATCAACAAAGCAAGGATAAATAAAATGCATTACTTTCATACAACACTATCCAGCAGTCAATGAACTAATAAGAAATGAATTCAGTAAAGCCACAGAATACAAAATTAACAGACAGAAATCAGTTGCATTTCTATACACTAATGAAGAACTATTAGAAAGAGAAACTTAAAAAACAATCCCACTCACAATTGCATCAAAAAGAACAAAATACCGGGGCGCCTGGGTGGCGCAGTCGGTTGAGCGTCTGACTTCAGCCAGGTCACGATCTCGCGGTCCGTGAGTTCGAGCCCCGCGTCAGGCTCTGGGCTGATGGCTCGGAGCCTGGAGCCTGTTTCCGATTCTGTGTCTCCCTCTCTCTCTGCCCCTCCCCCGTTCATGCTCTGTCTCTCTCTGTCCCAAAAATAAATAAACGTTGAAAAAAAAAAAAAAATTTAAAAAAAAAAAAAAAAAGAACAAAATACCTACAAATAAATTTAACCAAAGAGATGAAAGATCTGTACTCTGAAAACTATAAGACACTGATGAAAGAAACTGAAGGAGATACAAATAAATGGAAAGCAATACCATGCTCATAGGCTAGAAGAATTAATATTGTTAAAATGTCCACACTACCCAAAGAAATCTATAGATTCAATTCAATTCCCATCAAAATACCAACAACATTTCTCATAGAACTAGAACACAGAATCTTAAAATTTGTATGGAACCACAAAGACCCTGAATAGCCAAAGCATTCTTGAGAAAGAAAAACAAAACTGAAGTATCACGCACTCCCTGATTTCAATTTTTTTTTTCAACGTTTTTTATTTATTTTGGGGACAGAGAGAGACAGAGCATGAACGGGGGAGGGGCAGAGAGAGAGGGAGACACAGAATCGGAAACAGGCTCCAGGCTCCGAGCCATCAGCCCAGAGCCTGATGCGGGGCTCAAACTCCCGGACCGCGAGATCGTGACCTGGCTGAAGTCGGACGCTTAACCGACTGCGCCACCCAGGCGCCCCAGGCACTCCCTGATTTCAAACTACAAAGCAATAGTAACCACAATAGTATGGTACTGGCCGGAAAACAGACATGGAGATCAATGGAATAGAACAGAGAACCAAGAAATAAACCCATTCATATATGGTCAATCTATGACAAAGGAGACAAAAATATACAGTGGGTAAAAGACAATCTCTTCAATAAGGGAAAAACCCAACAACTACCTGTAAAAGAATGAAACCGGACCACTATCTTACACCACATGTTGAGTAAGAGTTGAAACCATAAAATGCCTTGAAGAAAACATAGGTAATTAGCTATTTTTCATTTTTTAAATTAATTTATTTATTTTGAGAGAGACAGAGACAGCATGAGTGGGGGAGGGGCAGAGAGAGAATCCCAAGCAGGTTTCACGCTGCCAGTGCAGAGCTCAACTCAGGGCTTGAATCCACAAAACTGTGAGATCATGACCTGAGCCAAAACCAAGAGTTGGACGCTTAACCCACTGAGCCACCCAGGTACCCCGGCAGTTAGCTATCTGACATAAGTATCAGCAACATTTTTTTGGACCAATCTCCTCAGGCAAGGGCAACAAAAGCTAAAATAAATAAATGGAATTACATCAAACTAAAAAACTTCTACATAGAGAACGAAATGATCAACAAAGTGAAAAGGCAATCTACTGAATGCGAGAAGATATTTGCAATTCATGCATCTGATAAGGGAATATCCAAAATATAGGAAGAACTTATACAACTTAATATAAAAAAAAAACCCAATTAAAAAATGGGCAGAGGACTTGAATAAGCATTTTTCCAAAGAAGACATATAGATAGATGGTCAACAGGTATATGAAAAGATGATCACATCACTAATCATCAGGGAAATGCAAATCAAAACCACAATGATTCATCACCTCAAACCTGCCAGATTAGATATTATAAAAAAGACAAAAAAATGACAAGTGTTGGCATGGATGTAGAAAAAAACCCTCATGCACTGCTAGTGAGAATGTATATTGGTGCAGCCACTGTAGAAAATAGTATGAAAACAGTATGGAGTTTCCTCAAAAAGTTAAAAATAGAATTCCCATATGATCCAGCAATTCAACTTCTAGGAATGCATCCAAAGAAAACCAAAACACCAAAGTGGAGAGATACATACACCCCTATGTTCACTGCAGCATTATTTACAATAGTCAAGATACAGAAGCAACCTAGGTATTCACTGATGGATGGATAAAGAAGTATGATGCACACGCGCGCGCGCGCACACACACACACGCACACTGGAATATAACTCAGCCATAAAAAAGAATGAAATTTGCAACAACATAGATGGACCCAGAGGTATTATGTGCACTGAAATAAGTCAAACGCAAAAAGACAAGCACCATATGATTTCACTTGTATGTGGAATCTAAAAAACAAAACAAATG